CTTTAACCACTTGAAGATAAGTAACTGTAAAAATAATATTTGAATGTTCCAGTGGCTGAATAAATTTTGTTTACCTGTTGCTTGTCAGATTTAGACATGAGACTATTAAAATGACTTCTGTGTGAAGATCAACAGCTATTTCTTAAATATTTTTCCCTTATATTTTTGAGGTATTTATAAGGATCAGTAAATATAATATGTTTTGTCATGTCTCTTGTTATGTATGTAGCTATCTGCACCAAACATGCCATGGATTGGAAATAGCCTGAAGTTAAGAGATCTGCTTGTAGTACCTCCATTTTTAGATTTTTTTTTACATTGAGTCATTATCTAATAGCCAAGAAATAAATTGGAAATCTATTTAACTAAATTAATCAGAACATAGAGGAGTGCAGAACTATTCCCTAGAAGTAACAGAGTGTAGCTTTATTTTTCATTTAGCATCAGTCTGATATGGGGGGTTTAAACTTTAAACAGAACTAATAGTTTTCAGGCTGAACGTAATTGTAGTTGACAAAATTAACCATTTTATACAAAAATCTAGATTAAAGAAAGAATGCTAAGAAGTGACCAGAAATAAACCCAATATGTATTTAATGCCAAAAAAAAGAAAATTTCTCAAATATTATTTATTCTTTCTATGTTTAGTATTTTATATTCTTGAGCTGCTCACCTGTCACTTGCATGCACACCATGAAAGAATGTTAGAAGACAAAAAACCCCCCCCTTTATATAAAGTATGTGTTGTCTTCAACTTTTAGGTAAAAGCAAAGGCTGCAAATCAGGAAGGCTTGCAAGTTTTGTTTTCTCTTTTTCTGCTTCATCATACTTTTCTGCTAATTCCCCTACAGTGAACATTTGAAATACTAAAAGCATGGCATAGAATACTTATATTCTACTACTGCAAGTATTTAATAAAGCTGTAACGATTGCATGACACTTTAAGCAAACACAAAAGAAAAACTGAACCAGGGGTTGGAGCTGCATCCTTTGAAGTTAGTCCTGTAAGTTACAAATTACAGTTTATACTTTGGAAAACATGAATCAGTAAGTGAAAAATATCCTTTGTGTGTGCCTTTTTCATGATTAATTAGTTCATGAAAAGAACCTATCCTATAGGAGAGTTTGTTAAACAGTGCATGTGATCCTTCTAATTTTTTTTGGCAGTTGGTTATGCTAAATAGAAGCATAGATGTGAAAGATGCAGTTCTCTTTGGAGCTAAGGTGGGTGCATTCATATGTGAGTGAATCTGAGGATGGTTTGCAGAACTCTGTCAGTGCTTTTACATATGTCTCTTTCTCTCCATTCTTCTCCTTCCTTTTATAGCTGTCTTAGCTGTGGCAGTAGCTATCTTAATTTAGAGTAAGCAAACTTCTCTTACGGATTTGTAGTATATCCTCAGAGTGAAAAATACCCCACATTTTTTCTCCCCTCAGCAGAATCAGAACACTTTACCCTTTTCCTATTCCGATTCCTGTGTTTATTTCCTCTGATTTCTTATTCCTGTCTCACTAAGGTGTGATTTTTTTCCCTGTAGTTGCTTTAAGATGGTTATGATTTGGTATGTATCTCTGAATAAGGTGTAGGAGCTATTTTTATTGCCATTTGGGATGATGACTTTGGGAATCCAGATGATCCATCATGTCAAATTAATTAGTTGTATTTGTGAATTTCACCTTGTATTCAATTGAAAATTTCAAGGTATTTTTAGTGATTACAAGGACACCATAAGTATGTGCTGTTTGCTCATACCAAGTTTTTTTTAAACTTTCAATGAGTGCCAGTTCTCAAAAAAGGTTTTAACATTATTAGCATTAGCTTTGGGTCTGGAAAAAAAATCTTAGCAGAGTTCTATTTGTATTAATAGTAATCCAAGCTGATAGTAGATGCAGACAGCCAAAGCCTCTTAGGCTGAACACAGTAATTCCGATGTTCTAGCAAAACCTTGGTATACATCAAATGCATAAGAGAGATGATACTCTGATTGGAAGACATTTATGTTAATGAGCAGACCACCTTTTCATTCAGCAGACTACTGTTAATGAGCAGATCACCTTTTTATTCAGAAGAATAATGGTTATTCTGGTCCTTTGCCTCCAAAAGAAAAAAAATTCATGTCTGAGAAGCAAGCCTTAAATAACAGGTCTTAACTCAACTGTGGTACTCTCCTTTTCCTTCATCTCCTGTCTCCAGAGGGCTACTGACTTTCCTGGGGTGCTGTGAAGTTTCACTTTCATGTGAAAAGGTAAATTGGTTCACTCTCAAATGAAAGTACATTTCAAATGAGCCTGTTTGGCAGCAGTGTTGCGGGAGGGAAGGTACTTTGTTTCTTAAGTTCAGTCATTAGTACTTGTTAAGCGGGTAAACTTCAGAGCAATGTTTCTTTGCTAGTTTGCAGCTTTTAAAATGTGGCTCTAAAATTTTTTTAATGTTGAAGAAGTATCCAAGAGGCAAAGGACTCACTGCTCAGCCCCAATTTCTTTATTGTAAAGCAAAAGTAATCTGAAGTTGTCATTTTGGAATTTGTTGGTATTTTAAGGTAAGGGAAAGGAGGAAGGAATCAGGCAGGCAATGAAGGAAGGGAAGGGAGGGAAGGAAGGGAGCAAAGGGAAGAGAGGAAAGGGAAAGGAGGAAAGGAAGGAAGTTAGTTCCTGATTTGATACTTTAACTTAGTTAATTTACCGGGTTACAGTTTGGAGGGCAGCAGACCTTTCAGGTCTTGATAACATGCCATGACAGCACTTAAATTGAAATATAATCTCCAGTTTCCAGTCTGTGATTTTCCCCCCAAAAAAATCTCACAGTATTTTAGGGAGCAGTATAAGTGTATTAATGAATAAGCAATGTGCAGAAACACAGCAGAAATCTATGTTTAAGGTATTTGGTGATGTTACTTCTACACCCGAAACTGGTTTAAAGGCCCCTCTTTTGAAATGTTAGAATAAGTATTCCATAGCTACAAGTCCATTTAGAGTCTGGAGTAGCATGTTACTGCTTTACAAAAGACCATTTGCCATTATTGCTTTCAAACATGCCAGTATTATTTTGTACTATTTGATAAACAGCTTTGAGTAGACCAGAGAATAATTCCTAGAACTGAGATATTTTTGCAGTTACAAAAGGAGCTATAGCATCTCATGAAGATGCTGTTACCACCTTGCTGAAATGCCATGGAAGTAATCTCTTGTTCACTTAGTCCTTTTTATTCAAAAAGCCACATCTGAATTTTTGTGGTAGGCAAAGATGGTGTTTTCTCTGACAAAAGCTGAATAAAAAGCCAGTCCAAGGAAGTAAAGTGTTCCTTGGTTGTGAAGTCAGGTCCTGTCCTAACGAGGAGAATGACTTTTGTAATGCCATGCTTGTGGCAGGAGAGGGGAAGACAGGCCCATATTGTGAGAAGAACAGCAGTTTATATGTGGGAATCAAAACAACAAGCAGTGTTTGCAGTTTGTTGTCTTCAGTCCTTTCCTCCCTCACTGCTGAGTGAGTGTTTAAACCCACCTAACAATGGGGCCACCTTGGTTTATGTAACTTTGACCGGGCATGCCTTCTCTACACAAACTTCTGGGCAAGAACTTGTGCATCCTGGTGAATTGGCATGAGAAAAGAGGACTTCTCCGCTGTAGTGCATCTGGAATTCAGATGGATAGGTCATGGACAGAATTAAGATTTTTGTTGTTTGGTGGGTGGTAAGGGATTCTGTTCCAAAACTCTTCAGGGCTGGGAAGTAGAATAGGAAAAATTGGCAAGGGGGTTGGGGCCACCCATGTCTGGTGGAGCAGGAAATCAGTTATTTCCCACTCACATTGCGCCCCTCCCCCTTAAAACTGTATAAAAGATAAGGGCGGAGTCCCAGCAACGCCTGCGCTGAATTGCATGCAGGATCAAGTGTGGATTTTAGTGCTAGGTAGTGCTTCCAGATGATGATGAAGTTGCAGCCTAATTAATAAACCAGAATCTTTCTGTTTGTATGTGGTTGGGACAATTGAGATTAGCTCTTGGTTTTATTCAAATTCTACTGTAATTTGGCAGGTGCATTATGTGCATACTTGAATCAATGAAAAGTAAAGGGAAATACCAAACTACCAATGAAAAGGAGTTGAAATAATGAAGAATATTTCAATTGATTTTGTTTTGAACTTCACAAGTCATTTTGAGATATAATGTACTATAAATGTGTATTGCAACCTCCTATATGATACTCACAAAGGAAGCTTTTTGTGACATCTGTAGTGAAAAGTGAGAAAAACGCACTATTGGTAATTCTAAAAGTTTTATTTGGGGATGATCTAAGCTAAAACTGATCTGTTACTTTCCTTAATGTTTTATAATTAAAGTATGAATTTAAGTTGCTGTTAGCTGCAGGGTTGCCTTCACTCTGCACATTATTTAGCTTTTATATTTTAAGAGAATGATTTTTATATTTATACTTAATTATAGGAACTGTAGAAACTCATGTTATATTTTCAGTTGTGCTGTTTGCATTATAATACTCATGAAGCTAACGATTTAAAAAAAACTTCTGACTAGCTCCTGCTGTTCAAATTACTACATCTGTTAATGACTGCATTTTACTAGCTTTGTGGTTATCTCAGTGGGATAGTCCAAATCTGGAATGAGTGCTCGCGGAAAGTATGGCAAGAGTGGACCTTATAACATTGCTTCTAAATGTCCTGTGCATTAATTGTAATATCTAAATTAATTTTAGCTGTAAAAATGCTATAAGTTTTTGTTGGTGTTCTTTGGTAGTTTAGTCAAACTACACAATATAGCTTCATATCATGCCTGTAAAAATAATTTAACAGCCTGAGTTAAAATATATATGTGTAATCTCACATTAATCTAAAATTATGGCATATATGCAATATGCAGTCTACTGAACTAGTGTCAAAACAATATAGATTAATAATTTGTTCCATTGCGATCTTTCATAATGACATTTTAAAAATTATGAATGTAAATAAATACTTTTTCATTGTGTTTTTTTTCTCTTTAACAGGACACTACAAGTATAGAAAAAATGTCAAACTGTTGTGAAGACATGTAAGTTTTGTGAAATTCCTACATTGCTGAAATGCTAAGCGAATAGCTGTTTGTTAAGATGATTTTACATGGTACTGTGCTCTGTGCTTCCCATCTTAGTAACAGCACCTCACTAATCTTTTAATAGTGGTTGTACACAAAATAGCCACGTGTTGTTCCCTTTCTTTCCTTACCCAAAGCCAGCAGAACTATATTTTCTTTTCAAAAGTACAGATCAAAAGATACTTTCTGCAGTGTTTTGACATACATTTCATTAATATTGAGGTCTTCTGTGCTTCAAAAGGTGCCTTTGTTTGATTGATGAGGCAGATAGTTTCTGTTTTCTGAAGCTAAGTCTCAGCTGCGTGTCGTAATGAAATAAAAGTTGTGTTTGTGATGCTTGGACGCAATTCATCAGAGTCCAGTACTGGATCCCCAGCCAGCCTACATTGTTGTAGCTGACTGAAGTGCACTGTGGGCATGCTGTCTTTCACTAATAATGCTGTCTTCTGTAGATCGAGGCCCCGAAAGCCATGGCAGCAGACCTTCTCAGAAGTTTTTGGCACTCACTGGAAGATCCTGTGGTTCATTCCTTTCAGGCGGAGGCAACCACTGCGAGTTCCCTACCACTTTGCCAATCACGTCTAAACAGATGGATGGTGGGCACAGATGCGTCCTCCATGCTGGAAGTGCATTACAGGTTTTATGATAATAGGACTATGACAGTCTTCAAGTCAATTAAAATCCAGTTGTAGGCATCATAGTGTGCCCTGGGCATTATTTTAGTTATGGTCTTCATTTTATTCTGAAATTAACGCAAGTTAATCAACTTCAGGCTTATTTACTTTAAAATTGGCTTTCCAAAGAGAATCCTTTTGTCTTCGAGGTTAATACCAGAAGTAAGCAACTGAAATGTAGTCTTCATCCAGTTTGATACTGACTTTTTTTTTTCTTCTTTTTTTTTTTT